CCGCGGGTGCGCCTCGGAGATGAACCCTGAGCCCCAGCGTGCAGGCGGCGCAGGATGTAGACATCGGCCTGACTCCTCGCAGGATGCTCCGGGCTCCGAGGGCTCCCGGCCCGGGGCTTCAAAGCCAGAGCACACGCCGCGCCCATCGTGTCCCCACCTCACCGCAGCCCCAGTGAAACCCCACCCGGCCCCCAGCCACCCCGCGACTGCTGGTCGGTGCCAGCCCCGCATTACCTCTTAGCATTTACAGTAACGAATGCACCACAAGTAACTGATAATCACGAATATGAAGAAATTAGAATTTGCCCAACAAAGATCCCCCTTTTGCTTCCCAATCACAGGAGCAGCAAAACAATCAATTTGGGAGTTCCCTCTGGTCTTCGGGACACTTAAAGTAGACGTATTTTCTTTCCTATCACTCCTTATGAGGTATCCTAACGCCTCATTTAGAAAAAATGGGGGAGGTGCGGGGTGGATTAAGGCCAGAAAAGGTGCTTTCCTTTAGCCCTCAGGCCTTTGGGTATTCACAAGGTGTCTTCTCGCGGCGTCTTCCCTCCTCCCTCTCCCACCGCCCTCTGGATACTCATCCAGAATCCCTGCTTAACTCCCGGGGACCACACAGCAGGAAGTTCTGCCACTAGCCGCCTCTGCTTTGGGTTCTTGAAGGCTATTAGGAAACTAATACATAGTATACATGCTCACTCACTCCTTCCTGAGAACTCCTGAGTCATGTGAAAAACGTGCAATGTATCCAAGATGACAGTGGGCTGTTTGTTCACTCACTGAAGCGATAAGGGTGGATTGAATTCTGTCCTCTTCCCTACTAACATGTAACTTTTCCCTTCCCGCCCCCTTCTCTCCCCTCTTGTTTCCAGATAGGCACTTGGAGACTTATCTGTTGGACTGTGAAAACACTTCAGGCACCTCGCCAAGCCTTCCCCAAGCCCCCAAGCAGCCGCAGAAGCGCTCCCGGGCCGCCTTCTCCCACTCTCAGGTCATCGAGTTAGAGAGGAAGTTCAGCCACCAGAAGTACCTGTCGGCCCCCGAAAGGGCTCACCTGGCCAAGAACCTGAAGCTCACCGAGACCCAAGTGAAAATATGGTTCCAGAACAGACGCTATAAGACCAAGCGAAAGCAGCTCACGTCGGACCTGGGCGGCCTGGAGAAGCACGCCTCCTTGCCAGCCCTGAAAGACGAGGGCTTCTCCCGGGCCCCCCTCATCTCCATGTACAGCAGCTACCCTCACTACCCCTACCTGTACTGCCTGGGAGGCTGGAGCCCAGCTTTCTGGTAACGCCAGCTCAGACGACGAACGTTCATGATCAGAAACTGCCTTCCCCAGGTTGTCTTTCCTCAAAGCCAAAGGGGCCGGGCCAGAGGACTGGAGAGCAAGAGGCATGCAGACCAAGACTGTTGGAGGTTTGCATGGAAATTCCAGATTCTTCGCTGGTGGGCCAATGAGAGGTCTGGCCCAGTGCATCATTTAATATCCAAATAGTTCCCCCAACACATGACGTAGGTCCTTTTTGCCTTTAGAGACCTGTTTGAAGTGGGGAAGGGTAGAGTCAAGTGCGGTTTGCAGCCCTGTGTGGGCTGTTGTGTGCGCTGTCCAAGTTGCTGCCGAGGATTGCGTTCCTGGAGCTCCCTTCTCCCATGTACCCGGGCAGAGACTCTGAGAGAGCAAACCTGAGGGAGAAAGGACAGCCAAGATGAGGATGTCACTACCAAATTAGACTGAAGTTCAAAAGCCTCATTGGCCTTGGAATATGACCAAGCTTTCTCTTTGTCCCTGTAAGAGAGGGACACAGAGGGTCTCGCCGAGAAACCTGTCGTGCTCAGGTTTAGTCCTTTTTAAAGAGTTCACCAACCTAAGTCTTTGCAAGGTGGCCCAAGTAGACCAAGAGTTATTCGCTGTGGGTTTAAGACAAGCTGTTTAACCAGAACACTACGGTAAGCAGCGGGCCAGGACAGAAGGATCCCCGTGTGTCCAAGGAGAAGTCCCCACGCTGCTGCGGGAGGCATTGCAATTTTGTTAGCAAAAGTTAAAAAACAAACATAAAGCCTCTCTGGATCGTTTGCCCTGGGTCCGAGAACTTAGAATGAGAAGGCTCCTGGAGTTCTCGGGCTATATTGCATGCCACATTATGACGATCACATAATTCTTTACGCGCCTTCCTCCTCATATTTTCTGTCCCGTTTCCACAGCAATCACCCACTGAAATGGCTTCTTTTCAATCCAGACTTTGGGTCTGGCTGCACCTAACATATGCCTTCCTTATTTAGCCTGAGATCTGGTCCAGTTTTTTGTTTTGTTTGTTTTTTTTCTCTCAAACTTTATCTCTCCTGGGTTAAAAAAGGGAGGAGGACAGATTCTGAATTGGCTAAAATACATGTGTTTTGTTTTTTATATGTCTAACAATTCTTATTTTTTTCTTTTAAAAATATACAGCATTAAATCCCAAATCCTATTTAAAGATTTGACAGCTCCAGAGGTCACTGCTGCTTTTATAGGACTTTCTGGTGGCTGTTGTTACAGTTCAAAGTCTGACAACCCTTTGGGATCCCCGCAGGCAGAGGAAGTAAGAGGAATGGCTTTCACACACGGGAAGGCAGTGCACAATGCAGGGTCGGTACCATTGAGCTGGCCATGGAGATTCAAGGCTCAGGGCTGGGGCTGGGGCAGGGGGTTGGGGGTGGTGGTGGTGGTGTGTGGAAGAAAAGTCTGCCTGGGCCTCAGAGAGCCCAGTCCAGGAGAGAACACTTTGCAGAAAGAGGCTAAGAAAAAAAGAAACAGTTTTCAAAATGCAACATTATTGTGACTCCCATCACGAAACAAAAAATAATTTTCCAAATGCTTCAGGAACTGTGTTTAATGCCTGTAAAAAAAAATGGATCCCCAAAATGAGTCACCTCGTGATTTCAGAGAGAACGAGAAGAGGGCAAAGGAGAAATGTGGTCACCCTTCTGTTTCCATTCTGTTATCTCAGGTGACCTGGAAGAGGGAAGACAGAATGAAGAAAGCCAGTCACTAATGAGGTACCCTGAGGCCTGGAAATCTCTTGATCCCACCACTTAATTCTCTTTAGTGAGAAACCTTTCAATTTCCTCCTATTAAAAGGGCCAATTTACTGTTGGTGGCAAACCCACCAAAGTTGACAGAATGTTGGCCCATTTCACCCCAGTTTCTATCGCTCAAACTCCACATTGAAATATTGTAAAACGCCACGTGCTGCAGACAATGCTGGGGAGCATAGAAGGCAGCATGGCCTAAATCGCTTTCCCCTTTTCACATGTCTCCTAAGATACGCGTTCAAAGCTCATTCTCTGCTCAGTACCCTTTCTCTCCCACCTCCTAAATTTAGTTCTTTCAACCTGCAATTCTGCAAGTATTGAACATTTCACTGTGATATATACTGTGTTGCAAAAAACAAAAACAAAAACAAAACAGTCTTTGTTTAAAATTATTTGGTTTGTGAATCCATCCTGCCTTTCCCTGCTTGGAACTAGTTACTCCACCCTATCTGAACTGGTAGAACGGCATTTGAAGAGCTAGTATGTCGGTATCTGGTGGGGGACCTGCAGGGTGCCCCAGACCGCTTCACCCAGACGGCCCGTTTTCTCCCCTGTGTAATAAAATCAGTTTGGTTTGCTCAACGTGCATAACAAACTCCGCTCTAATCTATAACATGCCAAGGCCTGTGACTTAAAGTTTAATAAAGTATCCGAACCCAACTTTATTTTTCTATGTATTTTTGGCAACATGAGTGTTTTAAAAATAAAGGACTGTGTCTTTATTAGGCATATCTGTGTGGTTTTCGGTTTCCTAAAGACTGTATGTTATTGAGCTTACAGATTTCTTGTTACCTCGTTCTCCCACCTTCATCCTGCCTGGCAAATCTATGGAGAACAAATAATCAAAAGCAGTCGCTTAGCCGGAGCAGACAATGGTCATTCTTTTAAAGGCACCAGCCTCTGTTCCTGGTAAGTCAAGTGCAGGGAAAAGGAATTTCTGTCTTCAGTGTAATAATCACCTGTTCCAGCCCAAGAACACCTTTGTTTAAATCGAGAACAGCAGGTATTTACTTACATTTCTTGAAGACCCTGACAGGGACACGTAGACCACAATAATAATTTGATTAAAATTCCCCTTTCACTTCCCACCAGCCCCTCACACTGCAGCTGCTCCCCTGGCCCCTGCATCTCCCTGCAAATATCACCTTCATTCAGGGCAGACAAACCTCTGGCAAGCAACACCTTTGAATCGAAATCACGAGTATTGAAAATAGGTTTCACATAAAATATATAAATAACACGCCCTTCATCCGCCCGCACTTAGACTAACTTCATTAAAGCCCACAAGCAGAGAGTCTCATGCACCTGATTACCTGACAGACTTGATGGATTTCTTGCCCCCTCCTTCAAGGAAATGGAAGCTTAAGGAATAAGGTACTTACTCGAGGTAAAACATATCATAATTTCAAAGTTGGCTCTAATCCCTTAAGTACATTGCACACACAGGTGGGGCCTCCCGTAGCGTGTTCACATGATGAGATTTAACTCTTTGCTCAAGTCTGCAGCCATGGTCCCCTCCCCGGGAAAGCCCTCAGCTCTCAAATTACAAAGGCTCTGGCAGTAAGTTAACAATGTGGATTTTTTTAAACCATTAAAAGTGACTAATCCAGGAAATTAAACAAAAATCTCTCATCTCTAAAGAGAGTTCTCTGCCTCTCCTTTGCCCCTCTTCCAACTTGCCTCAGTGCCTCAGCTGGTCCCAGGCGGTCTTCTCCCGCAGCTCTCCCCCGAATGCCCCATGTCTGTGGTCTTCAGAACCCCTTTGCAGTCTGCCTCTCACGCTCCTTCAGTGCAAATTTCTAGTCTCTGTAGTTTTGTCCCTGGTGTTCCCTTTGGTCCTCCCCAGGTCTCCTTGGGAAGGCCATTGCTGTCAGAAGGGAAATAAATGCTAGAGGTTTACACCTGGGGGGGGGGGGGGGAGATCATGTGCCATGTCTGTGGTCTTCGGAACCCCTTTGCAGTCTGCCTCTCAGGCTCCTTCAGTGCAAATTTCTAGTCGCTGTAGTTTTATCCCTGGTGTTCCCTTTGGTCCTCCCCAGGCCTCCTTGGGAAGGCCATTGCTGTCAGAAGGAAAATAAATGCTAGAGGTTTACACCTGGGGGGGAAAAAAAGCACTTTTTCCTCTTAAATACAAAGCAAGTCAGTCATGTCTCTAGGCCCTAGAGCAGTGATGGCGAACCTATGACACGCGTGTCAGAGGTGACACGCGAACTCATTTTTTTGGTTGGTTTTTCTTTGTTAAATGGCATTTAAATATATAAAATAAATATCAAAAATATAAGTCTTTGTTTTACTATGGTTGCAAACATCAAAAAATTTCTATATGTGACACTGCACCAGAGTTAAGTTAGGGTTTTTCAAAACGCTGACACCCCGAGCTCAAAAAGTTCACCATCACTGCCCTAGAGTCTTAGGGGGATGTTAATACCATGCATCTTAAAGCTGACCTCGGAGGGAACAGAGGCCGTGACGAGAAAGGTGCTTAGTTTTGGTGCCCTGTGATGGGGAAGCTGCATGCTGATGGTTTCTTGAGAGGGCACTCAACTCAGGAGGTTGGCCCGAGAGGAAGTGAGGACCGCAGGAAGGGGCCCAGCCATCTCTGCTGGCAAGAGTGAGGCCTCCCCCAATACTTTACGAAGCTCCAAAGCCAATGTGTCCCAGACTGAGGGGAAGGGTGGGCACTTATAATCCCAGCCTCAGCCATCTCCTGAGAGTGGGAATAACCTGAGGCGTTGTGGTTCTGTTAGATAGGACAAGGGTCTCGAAGTTTGGATGGCTTTTACTAAATGCTATCCTTGATAAATATTAAAATACAGTCGTATTTTGCACAGGATGAGTTTGACCTAATCCAATAGGATACGTTTAGTCAACTGCAAAGAAGAAATCAACATGTAACTATCCAAATCATGTATATAAGCAATGGCTAAGGTTTCCTTCTGGGAGACAGAGCTTTGGGTGTGAATCCTGTCTCCTTTATTTTTTGCAAGTAAATAGAACTACCTAATGACCAACCACACCCCGTTCTTGAATAGAACACCCCAGGCAGTGAACCCTTGAGTTAGGTAATAGTTCTTTCTGAGTAAGGCCTGGCCACAGGGACACAGCTGTGAGTCACTAGCACCCACACCCCCAGCGTCTGTGGGGTGCATCTCCCTGTATCGGGGGCTCAGTGAACGCCGCAGAATTCACTATAGGACATAAGATCCTTTCCGTGGCCGCTCTTAGGACATTGGTCACTCTCACAGGGCCACGGTCACCGCCAGTCTTTGCAGGGAAGAAATCTGAGTCTGGAGGGTCCGAGTAGGCTCTGCGCTCTGAGTTCTGCACTCAGACATCACACTCTGCCCCTCCCACAGCCATCGTGAACGTGTCACCAGGGCTTGTTTTTCCAAGCCCAGAGTTATTTACTGCCCAAGAAAAGGGGCAGGAGCAATAGTTCTGGGACAGACAGAGCTCCTAGTTTAGCCATAGACTTGGCCTTTGCGCAAACTTTCCCAGACAGACTACCCGTCAAAAGTCGGCAAGGGAAAGGACAGGAATCTCAGTTTCCACACATGTCCTCCTCTCACCTCCAAAAGGCTTCACCTATGACCTTGATTTAATTCCTGAGTCTGCTCTGGGCCTGATATGGGTCATAGGAGAGATTTAGGAGAGATTTTTAGGCTAGATCCTTGTGTGGCCAGTCTCTACCTACATCCAGCCTATCCAGGGATGAACATGGCCCTTGTTGGGAAGGTGATGGGGTGTCACACAGGGGAAAGTCCCACTTTCTCTGGAATGACTATAGGATATTTATAGATTTTTTTTAAAAAAACCTAGAAACCATGTGGTGCATGGGAAATCAATGCTGATTTTTCTCTGTTGAAGGTAGAAGTCCAGCAGCATTTAATCTCAAACACCAGTCACCCCCACAGTCTCTTGCATTGGCAGGATAGTGCTCAGCCCCATGGTGTCAGCATTGGCTGCACATATCCTGGGAGTCTA